AAGGTTTTTAACGAGGCAGCATAAACGCACATTTAATAGTGGTAATTCCAAGGGGGGGTATTGTGTAAAAGTGGAATAACCACTATTAATTATGTTATCAAATTCTTGAAGTGTGTGCCCCAAATTTGTCTATAAATAGGCAAGGAGTCATTGTAATGCATATACGAAAATAAGGAGAAAGAAAGCAAGTAAAGCTTCTTGTAATTTGTATCCAGTTTTTATACATTGTGTTCTTTATATTCCCCGTATTTCATAACATATTATTATTATTATTATTATTACTTTGTTACACATCATTTTTGTGTATGATTTTAAAACATAGGACACCAACTAAAAACACTAACTAAAACATAGATTAATGTCATCTCGCCAAATATCCAAATAACCACCAAAGACAAATTGAAAGATTTTATTAAAAATAAAAGGATAAATAATTAATAATAAAAACGTCTAAGGGGGCGACGACTAGTAATAAGGGGGCGATAAATAGTAATGCACAACTTAAATGGGGCGGTGACTAGTAATAAGGCGAGATGCCCAACTTAAATCAAACAAATGGAGGGAGTACATTACAATTAAAGCATATTATTTCTAAATGAAAATTCATATTGCAATACTTATTACATTAGAAAATAGAGTATACTATCACTCGTAATCTACTATTTATATTAAAAAAGTATTACTGTATATTTGTAAATGGAATTCTAAATTTCATGTTTATTGATAAAAAGGGGTAAATAATTTTTCCAACTTGTACTATACGTGGTTTTGGGATTTTCAACCTAAAGTATTTTTTTGTTGTAAAATTCAACATGAACTACATATACAGTCACTATTTGCATGCTCGACCACATCTTGACCATACATGTGTCCTTTTTTGTAGATAATTGAACGGTCAAAAAGCAGTCGAGCGTGCAAATAATTGTATGTATGTAGTTCATGTTGCATTGGTTTAAAAAAAAAATATTTAGCGATATTTACCCAAGAGCGTTTGGATGAGATGGCTTGGGTCTCTTCCAGCTTAACCAGTGGTCTCGAGTTCGAGCCCTGGGAATGCAGCAGTGTTAAAACTCTTGAGGGAGAGCTTTGCCGCCCAAGAGAGCTTTGCCGCCCTTGTGGTCCTACCCGGCTCGATTCCGGATTAGTCGGTTCCCCTGTGAATCCAGAAACCGGAAGGTCCTGTACCAAAAAAAAAAAAAATGAGAGGGCGTAACGGACGTCATCCTCCACAAAACGACAAAATTTCAGATGCCAGAAAAAGCATTTCAGCTGCCAGAAAAAGCGACAGAGGAAGCTATAAAAACAACTATATCCGCATTTTTTTTTTCAGTTTATAATAATTATAATATTCCTCTTTTTCTCTACGATTTTGCTCTGAGTTTTCGTGCCGATCACAAATTCCGGGGGGTTTGATGATATTCACCTGAAGTTCGTTCCCCCGGCCGTGTTCTTGATCCAGCTACTGGTGAGTTTTTTTTACCCTTCTCTTTTTGTTAATTTTCCGCAATTTATGATGTTTATAGCGCGTGATCGTTGCATATTAGTCTCTGGTTTGTTCGTCTGTCGTCGATCGATTAGCTCGTTTTTGCGTTTTTAATGTCTGTTAATTCTTGTTGTGTGCCTGTATCTCTATCTGTTCGTGGCCGTTGTGCGTTTTCTTCTTCTTTTTTTTGTTCTGTTTTCCTTTTTCTTTTAGTTAAACGTGGTTGATCTTGAAGTTTCTCCCATGAATTTTGATGTTTTATGGAAGTCCTATCTGAAGCTGCTTTTGGTTTTCATGTTTTTTTTTTATTCGCTAGCTCTGATGGCTTCGTATGTGCGAAAAAGTGTGAATCCTGCGTATTTGCTTTTTGTACCAAGAAGCTGTTAGGTTTCTTGATGATATTGAATGTGTATTTTAATAATACACATAATCGAACATTCACGAACGAGCTCGTGTTCGTTCGATTATTAAACGAGCCTAATTTTATGTTCGAACTCGGCTCGATTAATAAACGAACGAGCTTTTGTCGAACACGAACAAGCTCGAACGAGCTTATGTTCGCGAACATTCGGTTCGTTTACAGCTCTAGTATTTTTCCCCTT